CCATCGACCCGATTAAAGCATCGGACATTCGCTTTTCGTCCTCTCAACTTTGTAAACAACACCCAGTCAAAAGAGGGAAACGAGTAGGACTTCCCTATCAGTGGCTGTATACGCGTAGCCATTTGAGAGTATTTCGAAAGAAGGAGCTGACTCTCCTTACTCTCGGCCATACCAGGGCATTTGGGGGCTCATTGAAACTATACTAATACATTATTTTAATTGAGATCATGAACCGATTATTATTATTTTAATTTGATGCACAATAATTATTTCAATATTTCTAGTTATTCATTTTAGTTTAACCTGTTGTAATCTGAAAATTATTATTCTGTATGGTAACATACTAATCTTATATATTGCTATTCCAGTTCACGAACAGTTAACTATCTATTTCGTTTGTGTGCATTTAACTACTAATTAAGATGAAGTTTCTGAAATTTCAACATTGATTACTAGCTAGAAATTAGAACCTAATTGATAAAATCTAGTTAACACTAAGGACTAGACAATAATATTTGTGTGATTATTCAATGCTCTTGTACTACCTCAATTACTGTTACATACTTCTTTCAAAATGAAATGCATTGTTTCTAGTTATTACCTTATTTACATCTGGTAAATCGATTGATGAGCCATCTCATATGGTTAGAGAGGAAGTATGTTTTTTTTGTTCAATTGTTTTTGTAATCTGCATGAATTAAAAGCGCTACGCAGACAACCTTTATTGCAACTATGTGTATCACTTCAGAATTCTTATGTAAATACCTTTTCTAAACAACTTAAATGTTTACACTTCTATAGTTCAGGATGTCTCGACTATGTGTAGGGTTGAAAATAAAGTACGAAATATAAATCCAGTTTCTTGGTTGTTTTCTCGGTTCTAAATGAGTTTTCTAAATAAAATCATGTTATCTGGTTCACTATGAACAAAACTCTTATTACTGTTACGGCTTCCAAACTACCACTAAACAAAGGAAGTGAAAAATGGCTATGAGAATAGAACTATATTTGAATGAAATTAAAGGGAAGAAGCTTTTAGGGACTGTTAGTTCATCTTGTAGGTAATGTTGATAATAAAATAAACTGAACTATCAGGATATTTGATAAGCTAGACACCAGCATTGGCTTTGACAGTCAATAATCAATGAACAATTCTAACAATAACAGCATGGTGTTGAGAATCGTTTGAAACTTACTTACTTACTTACGCCTGTTACTCCTCGTGAAGGAGCATAGGCCGCTCACCAGCATTCTCCATCCAACCCTGTCCTGGGCAATCCTTTCCAGCTCCTTCCAGTTCCTATTCATCCTTCTCATATCTGCTTCTATTATCCGACGCAATGTGTTCTTTGGCCTTCCTCTTTTTCGCTTCCCTTCAGGATTCCAAGTTAGGGCTTGCCTCGTGATGCAGTTTGACGATTTGCGTAATGTATGTCCTATCCATTTCCATCGTCTTTTCCTAATTTTTTCTTCAGCTGGAAGCTGGTTTGTTCTCTCCCAAAGAAGGCTATTGCTGATGGTATCCGGCCAATGGATGTTGAGTATCTTGCGCAGACAGTTATTTATAAATACTTGTACTTTCTTGATGAATCGTTTGAAAAGTAATTCATATATCTATAGAAACTTCCGAGTCACATAGTCATTTTGTGACTGAATACTTACGGAATTTAAAGTACAAAGAAAATTACTGTCCGACAGATTAGTGACGTCAGGATCAAGACAATTAGACATTAACAATCCTAAAGACAGTATCAAAAACCAACACGTAACGTGAGTTTTTATCATTTAATACGTGTTACAGTCTATAAATCACTTTAGTACCTAAAGCATGTGGTCTAAATTTAACTAAATTCTAATTGATCTGCAATGCTAGAATCATATCTTCAGATGTGCATGTAGTGAACTTATCATCGGCATTCATCGGCTCCTTTATCTTTTGGCTATTATAGTTCCTCTTGTTTCATCAGAAAAACGCTAAGAATCATAAAGAAGTTATTTATTACTTGTAAGTTTATTTTTAAGTATAAACAGTACATACTCTTATTACAGGAAATAATTAATTTTATGATATTAACAAAGTTTGTGACAAAATATTGTACCCAGAACTGAATCTCGTCATTATTTTAAACCTTATTTGATTACTTCTATGCCAGTAAATGTATACTACTTATTGTTACTGAGTAGTGTGAATTATTTAAGTATTTCTTTAACTAGTATGACATGTAACGTGGTCATTAGCTTTTACAGAGGGCTTGATCATTATAGTTAATAATAATTGACCGATATTTTTAAAAAACGAGATGTGGTTTCATCAGAAGTAGATCTACGTTAGCTTATAAATGAATGCAAGAAAAATGGTGGACGATTTTTTAGTACATTTCAGATTTCTGATTGGTAAATACTAAATACCCTCTTCTATTAGATGAAACTTGTGATGGCCAAATATAAGGACTAAATAAGAGATATAACCACACTGTAACAATTACAAAATAAGTAATTACATTGAAAGAAAAGCAAGAATCAAGGTTTAGAAAGTAACCAACACCAGTGGACACAATCGATATCATGGCACCAATGGGATTAGTGACCAGTGGCGTTTTAAGAAAATGTATGCCTCGCAGTATTACTGATTCAAGAATGATGAATAATCTCATGAAGTGGATATTGTCCCCAAAACCATATGACGCTCTGGTAAGATAATATTAGTGCTTTGAAAAACAACACAGAGGACGAAAACATTTAAAAATGGCGTTTAGCAGCCCGAGATATTAGATAATCGTTACATATATTAAAATGTTCGTTATATCGGTAAGCAATTTAATAAAACACTGTAAGCTACAGGAGTGTGGTGTTTGAATGAATCAATGATACCTTTGTACTTGCTGAATGCTCGATTTTGAATTCCAAATACAATACATTCGGCACGGACTGGCGGGTAAGCCACGGATTTTCGCGCACACGTTACATATTGTCGTGGATTTTTTGTGTCGTTATTTATCAGCTATTAACAGGCTCTTTTGCATGACACATCAGTTTCTGTATTGCTAGTGCTTGTAACATAGTTTTTATTCCAATTTATTGGCAGTTTGACGTATTTCTTGCTCACTACGTAAGTAAATCTGAAGTTAGCTTAATATAGTTATTTGTAACAATACAAACTCAAGCAAGTAAAGTTCACCGTGTTTCTAGTCAAAAAATACATCACAGATTGAGTTTTCATGAAAATGAACCGTAAAATCTTTTACATATGGTTCACCTCCTTGATTGCGGTGACGGTGAACATGGATGTCGGTAGTTGTTTATAAAATGTAAGTAGAAGCAATCAAGCGTTAACCTAATTGTGAATATTATATAACTTGTTTGTATTTAGCCATAAAAAGTTATATCCATTAGAGGTACCATTGTTTTGTACTGAAGTGACATAATTATGTAACGTATCTGAGAAAAAAATATGTGAGTAACAATTGACGTTTATAGTGTTGTCCAGCGGCTTTCTAAACGTCTGCAGTAATAGTGTATAACACCACATCAAGTAGGAACAAAATCTTCATGAATAAAACGATCGGTGTTTCTTGTGAGAATGGTGACACAACCATGTTTTTTAGTTAATACTGATTTGTGACGTGTCTGTTATAGGGTTCACAAATGAGTTATTATATACTCTTCACTCCGTCTCGGTAATACAGTTGTTGTGTTACTTAGGAAGTTATGAATGAATGTCACTACTTGTTAATAAAAGACTTATAGGCACAGTCTGTTACTTGCTATTTGAATAACTTATTGAATATGATACTGAGAACAAAGTTTAATTGTTTGTCTCAAAACGGATTTGTTGTTTTTCAGAATAGTATGAAGCTTATGGAATTTAGGATTACGGAAGATCGTGTGGAAAACCGGTTTACAAGTTTACGATAACTGTTTTATATTGCCTACTGCTATGCTCATTCATCTAATGAATTATTTAAATATAAATATAACAACCATACGCAGTGTTTTATATTATAAATCCTGTAAGTTTGTATAATTATGGTCTAAATAAAGCCAAAACAAATATTGACGCACAATCATGTGACTGCATTACATTTCGTGGTTTCTCATAAGTTGCACACAACTGAATATGCATTATAATTTAAGATTGAGGGAAGAAATAGTATGAAAGATAATAGAAAGCAAAGAATTGGAATGACCTAGGTTATCAATAATAACTATACATATGTATATGCTTGAACAGGTCAAAGGTCATTTGGTGTTAGACTTAAGGGAACATAAAGGATAGGTGGTGTAATAGTCGAGTGAAGCTCAGAAGCATATAAGATAAATTGTGTGATAATTCTAGCGCAACTTCGTGGATTGGTTGAAGTTAGACATTAACACCGTTGGATACCGGCTCAGTGGTCTAATGGTTAAGTGCTCGCGCGCGAAGCCAGTAGGTCCTGGGTTCGAGTCCCGGGTGGTGCGGGTTCGTGGATGCGCACTGCTGAGGAGTCCCATACCAGGACGAAACGGCCGTCCAGTGCTTCCAGGTTTCCAATGGTGGTCTAGCTTCAACTGACTCATGATTTCAATCTGTGAAAATTCTAGATGTAATGAATAAATCAGTGAATTGAGAACTAATAAGATAAGTGAAGACAATCTGAAGAGTTAACATAATTTAGCAAAGAAGTGTGAGTGGAAGGGTGGTCTAAGGATTACGTAATCCGTCTTATCAGGGAACTAGCTGCATGAAATTGTCTAGTTCCATACTAATACTAACTTGATAATGGACGTAATCTGACAACGGAAAATATGTAAGGCGGTTGTTTAATCTGTAAGGTTTTACGTGGAAGTCGCATTATTGTTTTATTTGACTCGTTGATTCCTCACAATGAACAACGATATAACGCTACGTTCTAACGACAGTTCGTAACTAATACAGTAGTACAAATTCTTAATTTCCACACACAATTATTCGTTAAAGCGATTGGTAAACCTCCCCATGAAAGTATGAAGAAGACGAAAAAAAATGAGAAAAAGTTTATTGATTTTTCATGACTACTAAATTGGAAAGATAAGTTTACAAGTTGTATAAATAGTGGTCTAAAATAAAGCCACAAAGGACTGTTAATCGTAAACCTGTTGTCTAGCTGTTTATAATTCTTAAGTAAAAATTGTGGACTTTTCTCTCCACCTGATTCGCGAAGCGTTCACCATATTTCTCAACAATTTGTTGTTTGCACATTCTTTGTAGCCGTTGAAGTTGTATATATTCTTTACTCAGTCTCGGTAATGAAATTCCTGTGTTGTTTTGTAAATTGTGTGTATTGTCTAATTTCCATCTGCAGCAACACCTAAGAAGTTGATGAGCTATGCAGTTTATATTTTATAATTTAAATAGCTTACCTGTTCTTTCCTTAATACTTTCAATAACTTCGTCCGTCGACTGACAGTGCAATATAACTGGTTTCAAATTTTCTTTTTCTTCTGATGACAATCGTCTACTCAACGGATCACAAACCATCCACGAACTAGTACACGGATGGTTGTGAGACATGTTGTAAGATTTTATAACGTATTGTTGACCCTCCAATCTTACGCGAAACATCGATTGGCAATTTAAAAATTTAGACCTTAAATGTAACACATTAGTTAGAATCCTCACGGTTTTTTATTCACATTCAGACCTGATTTACGTTTACGACCAAACGTGCAACGAAACACTACGAACAAGTATTTATATCTCACATCCTTCAACAATCTACTTTCTGCGTGAACATAGTGTGTATGGGTCATCTGAGAAAACATAGATTTATCCTATCATACTTTATGGAAATCCTTTAGCGCATTATCTAATTCAATCCAGCTTCCGAATCTCTTGTTCAGCATAATACGTTGGAACGCGTCGCTTACGTTCACTGAAATTTCACTTGAGCATGAAGCACTAGAGACAACATACAATAGTTATTAAAAAAAAGGTTATTCCTTGAAAAAAAATTAACTGAAGGAAGAACAACAAATATTTAGGACTTACCCTTCAGTTGACATTTCGTCTTAACTCACAAAAACTAGGCGCACCTATAACCTTTTACGTTATTTTATCTTTCTTACGTTGTTTTCTGGACCTTATCAACAAATTATATATAGCTGTTGACTTTCACTACAGCACTTAGGACCACAGATCAAGTTTCGAAGGAACGACAGAGCTAAAGTGTGCACTACAAAACAGAAAATACTCAGTTAACGCTCTTAGCAGTTATTTAGTGTTTATTATGCATCAAAAGATGACTTATATATGGAAACATTTAATACTCATAGCACCCAACACACACACGGCAATTGAAATACGGAATGCCCGCTTCCAGTCAGCGCGTTCAAGGTCGTTGAAACGAAACGGCGGACAGATTTGAAAGGGATTACCGTTTTTACCTTGCCAATACATTCGCTTGTGCTTGTGTCTTACTTCTTAATTCAGTTGCGTTATTTCTGGAACTCTTAGTTCGTGCTATAATTCAAATAATTCGAAACATTATATTGGCGTCGCGAAGGAGCCTGCAATGGAAAAGTTTGATATTCATTCAACTCTTGAAGCTTTTGAGGATTACTTGGAAAGGTTCGAAATCTGGAGCATGACCAAGAAAGATGTTAAAGGTGAGAAAATTGTGGCACATTTTCTGACATTCATTGGGAGAGAAGCGTACAGCTTATTAAAAACTTTGGCATATCCAGAAAAACCTATATCACTCCCTTACGCAACTCTTAAAGAGCTATTATTAAGTCATGTAAAATGAACCAGTTTTGAATGCCGTGAAAGGGCGAAGTTTCATAAGATGGTTCGTCAAAATGACCAAAAGGCTCGGGAATTCATCCTTGAATTACAGAAACAAGCTGCCAAGTGTAATTTCCGTGATCAACTTCATGTGCAACTGAGAGATCGATTAATTGCAGGAATTAACATATCGAGTTTGGAAAGAGAGCTGTTAAGAATGCCAAACTGTTCCTTTCAAGGTGCTAGAACTGCATGTATTAACTACGAAGCAGTCAATGAACTTGATATCCAGTCGATGAAGATTTCTAATACTTTGCTTAGTCGTCGTGATGAACTACAATCTCAGGGTCAATCAAACTTGCGTTCATTTAACAGTGATTCCTATTCTCGTGTAAATATGAAAGGTGTTTCAACGAGGAATTACAAAGCAAATCACAAAGATGAGAAGAAGTTTGGTAAATGTTTGTCGTGTGAAAAGTTTCATGCTCGCAATTCATGTGTATTTCGTAATGCGTGGTAAGTTAGGACACATTAAGTCAGTATGCAAAGCTACTGTCCATTTTGCTTCAAGCTGTACTAAATCTTGTAATTGAAATTTAAATAATTCGGATGTTTCTAGTGATCATTTATCTTTGTCTATCATTTCGAAAAATAATGCTCATATTCAAAAACGACTATATACATCGCTTGGTTCATTTCATGACTTTATTCTATACACAGGCAGTATAGAGTCTATTATTTCATTCAAGAACTTGAAATCTTTAGATCGTAACGCTGTTGTACGACCCAGTGAAGTATCAGTATTGGGGATTACTGGACACAGACTGCCCATACGAGGATGTTGTGAATTGCTAATAAGAGATGATAATCCTTCATACATACCTTGTGAATTTTTAGTTAGCGAAACAGGACTGTCAATTTTGGGTTTAAAGAATTTGAAAAGGCTGACTGACTAATGCACCGTCTCCAAAAAATCTTACAGAATTACGTTCACTAGTAGGTGCTCTTCAATACTATTCCCGTTTTATTCCTAATTTTTCTTGTCGTGCAAATTGTTTATTTAATATTTTAACATCCAATTCATTCAAATGGAGTGAAGAACAAGAGTCATGCTTACGAAGTCTACTAAAGCTTCTTCAAAATGATGTTGGTCTTCGAACTTACTCCCCGAGTGTACATTCTGTACTCATTACTGATGCATCATCTGTGGGTATTGGCGCAATGTTGGAGCAGGAAGGTAGACCAGTTATTTGTCTTTCACGCAAACTTACTGTTACTGAACAAGGATATTCACAGACTTAGCGGGAAGCATTAGCTGTGTTTTGGGCTGTTAAAAGACTTTATAAATATGTATTTGGAAAGAAATTCACTATTGTTACTGATCATAAAGCTTTAAAGTTTATTTATCATCCCGAAAAATCTTTAGCACGTTCCTTAGCAGCTATGGTTCAGCGATGGAGTATTGCTTTGAGTGCATATGACTATACGGTTCAGCACAGAAGTGCCAAACAGATTCAACATGTTGATTACATTTCTCGACAGTCATTACAAGATAAACCTATTAATACTTCGGATTGTTTGTTAGTGCAACCTTTACCAGTGAGACGTTCATATCTCATTAGAGAAACGCGTAGATATTTTGAATGTATACTCAGTGCTATAAGGAAAGGTTGGAATGCTAATTTGAAACGAGGATTTCTTATCTATTTTTCAAAGCGGGATGAGCTATCTACTACTCCTGATGGTATTCTGTGTTTAAATGATCGTGTTGTCATTTCTCCTTCATTGCGTAAATCTGTTCTTGAAGATCTTCATAGTGGTCACTTAGGTGTTGAGAAAATGAAGTCCTTGGCAAGGCTCACATGCTGGTGGCCAGAGATAAATGCAGATATATGTCGTACGGCAAAAATTGTGAGAAATGTCATCAGTTGAAAAATCATACTTCGAAGTGGACGCCATGGCCAGTATCGTCTGAGGCCTGGTAGAGGATTCATGCTGACTATTGTGGACCATTTCTTGGTAAATACTACGCACTAGTAGTCATTGACTCTTTTTCAAAGTGGCCTGAAGTTTTTTTCACAACTTCACCAAATTCTGATTTCACAATACAAGCATTAAGAAAGGTGTTTAGTCGAGAAGGTGTTCCCTTGGTGTTGGTGACTGATAATGGCTCACATTTTGCTGCAGATGCAGTCACTACCTGGTTGAACGGTATAGGGTGCAAACATCTATTTACTGCTCCCAGACATGCGTGTTCTAATGGTTAGGATATTAAAGACTGTTATTGATTCTATAGCCCCCTCAACATTTAATGAGCTGGAGAGGGAAGTAGATACTTTTTTATTGCAATATAGAAATGCCAGACGTTCGGTGACGAAGGAGACTCCAGCGAAGCTATTAAAAGGAAGAATTCTCCGGTCGAATATGAGATGTTTGGAGTCTGCAGAAGTTACATACTATCGAGGAAATGATATTCGACTATCTACGGGTATTGTTCTGAAGAATGTCGGAAAATCGATGGTGCGAATTCTAGACATCGATGACTTAAGTACACACAGTCGACATGTAGATCAAATACAATTTCAGGAACCAGGTGAGTCAGTTCCAATTTCGATTGTTAATTCTAATGCTAATGAGCATATTCTAGATAATACAGAATCCTTATTCAATACAATGTCAGACAGACTCAGGATGAATTTGAGAAGAAGACGTATGATTGATTACAAACACCTAGATTCCAATTTAAGCTGTGGCGGATGTGGTGTTGAATGAACCAATGATACCTTTGTACTTGTTGAATGCTTGATTTCGAATTCCAAATAAAGTACATCTGTTCGTGCTTATCTAGTACTTCTTGATCCAATTGCGTTATTTATAGGATTCCTAGTTTGTACTACAGTTCAACTACTCCTAATTATCACAATTACACATAGTCTTTGGCACAGTTTTGCATTATCTATAATCCGTTAAACAGAAAAAAAGGTTGCTGGCCAATAAATTTCGGCTTACCGTATTCACAGTAACTTCTGATACGAGAGGACTTCATAAACAATTGCATTAATATACTTAACATTCCAGAGCAGACAATTTATCTCCTCACTTCACAGAATCGCTTGATACATGATATTAATTGGTCTACCGTACAAATAAACAAAATGTATGTCTGAAAGTGGAGTCTATAAAGTTGATATTTAGGAACTTGACCTTTGAAATAACTGCAAACACTCTGTAACTTTTAAACAAGAAGAAACAACCAACTAAGAAATTTTATGTGCTTGACAACTTATCTGCAGAACCTTAACAGCAGTGGTGTGCATATGATGATAGTTCATTACATCACAGCTTCCAGTATGTTAACCTGTTCTGATGACTGATTACAGCGCAGTGGAACAGACAACTTCTGTGTTCGGAATGCATATTGAGGTCTTTTATTAGCCTGAATATTCTTTTGGGTACACGCTGCGACCACTAGTTGAGGTAGAGATCCAGTCGTTTATTATTTCTTGTCAACTGGGAGGTGGTTTATCTTCAGGAAGAAGGAAGTGTTCGGATAAGATCAGCACAAGTCAGTCGACTTATCAGCAGTTTTGCCTTCGACTTTAAGGTGAAGTAATAAGATGTGAATCTTACTGTCTTGTCACTGGTCCTCAGCATAAGAACTACAGGGTTGGACGAAAAAATGTAAGGGTGTTTATCTACGACCGTGTATTATCCATCAATTCTATCATTGAAATGCGGATTATGCAAACAAAGTGAGTTGTTTGATAAAGCACATTTATCGTAGATTTTGTTATTGAAAGTGGTTCATTCCAACCATAGCCTGTAAAGAAAGTTAAGAAGTTTGTTAAGAAATGACCTCACTGACTTTATTGCTGTTCCATCACTTTGTGCTGTAATAGGCCACAGAAAACATCTTAGCAGACGTTTATGCTGTAAGCACTAGAGTTTTCATGAGCAAATAAACTTCAATGCTGATTTCTTACGATTTTAATAATGAACGAGACAATAAACGGAATCCACAGCTTTATCTAACATCCGTGTCATGTTCTAGATGGTGGAAGTTGAGAAAATATAAGTTAGACGGTCACATTATGTTGAGTCATAAACATTATATCAAGGTTATCAGTCTAGTAGCGTAGAGATGTGGAATAAAACCATGTTGATTCTCTCCCTTCGAATTAATTCTGGTGGAAATATGTGTTTCACGAATTAAGAAGAAATGTTAATCGAATCTTAAGGTATTGCTTGCGTAGTTTTCGTGCTTCAATTGTTATCGAGTAATTGCAATGAAAAGAAATATCAAAGTATCTCTAAATGTTCAAAACAATCTTTTAGCGATGGAATATCTAGAAAAATATGAAATTATAATACAACGAGTATTGTAAGGACCTATTATGCGATGTAAATATCCTCTTAACTTCCTTAGATCGCCAAAAGTATGAATAACTTGAATCCATAAAGTCATAAATCAATTTTATTAATGCAGAACTTCTCAGTAAGTTGGCCCCAAACCACTAGATATTAAACAGTTATATTTCGGTTAGAATTCCTTTGGTAATAATTCAAATATGACCTACTTAAGATATAATATTCTGAAAGCCATGTCACTTGAAG